GAAAAAGAGCTCTAACAAAGGAGGGAAATCAGAGGTGGGCGGGGTCCTCCCCATTTGAATTCACGCTCCCAGCTTCCAGAGCGATCTTCTCGATTCCGATTTCAGTCAAGCTTTCGTACTTGGCCGGTGGAGATGTCAAGGCAGCTAGCGAAATCGATAAAATCGCTCCAGAAGCTCGGAGCGTGAATTCGTTGTGGGAAGACCCCGCCCACATCCTGATTTCCCTCCTGTGAGAGCCCTTTTTCGCCGTTTTCGCGCTTTCTAGTGTGGATTTATGGATTCAGCATAGCGAATAGGCCCGGATATGCACAAAATCTCGAAATCGACTTTTGGCCCGGACATTGCCTTTAATAGTATGTACTTACTTTTGAGACACCCTGTATCTATATATCAATAAAACTCAATCTCTGTGAATTTGTTCGTATGTAAGTATGTGGCTTATAGACTCCTTTGTTTGTGAACCGATGAGGCTGAAATTTGCTCCCCAAAAAATCAGGCGAGGCGCAGAAGATAGGCTACTTTTTGCGACGATTCGCTAGGCCCCTCTACTGATTTATTAATTTGTTTACCAAATCTAGGAAATGAAGGGTTTATCAAATCATTTGTCCATGTGAGAGTGAAGATTAGCGGCATGTCTCATTCTGAATTTTTGGCATGCAGAGCGCAGTGAGAAGTGTATCTTAAGTAGGTTCATTTATACGTTCGCTTACGTTGAGGTGTGTAGCATCCTTCCGCAACATTATGAGCGCCAATTCTCAATGCCTTCTATTTCTGCAAATACAATTCTTATCAAATGCAGCGTCGGGCGCATCAACTCTCCGCTTCCGCGCGGCCGCCTTGCCTAGATTCTGCGCTCTTTCGCGAACATGCTCTCTGATCACTTTCCCACCGCGAGCGTGAGAAAGACGGAGCCTCAATTGATTGCAAATGATTAGAGAGCATGTTCGCAGAAGACAGGCCTTGCGCGGGAGCGGAGGTGCTGGGGCAAGAGACACTACAATTGATAAGCTCTAAGCCAAAGGCATTGGATTTGCTGTTGCGAATCTAAGCGGCCTCAAAAACAACAGCGTTAACAACACTCATCACAAAACATGTTCGTTTTTGGCAGTGGATCGGCAAATCTTAGCGACACGGAAATTTTACGCGATAGGTTGCTTATCACCCAGGTGTGAAAGCAGTGCAGTCCCGGTCGCACAGCATGTCTTCCTTGTCGAGAAAACTGTTCTCAAACTTACACGCGCAAGCCTATCTTACACGCGCTCGGACGAGTTGAACAACGCTTTTCACAGCGTTGATGGCTGCCCGCCGCAATGCTATAACCATTGGGTCCCGCCACGATTCGGCTTCTTCAGTCGTGCCCCACTCGTCCAATTTCAAAGCAAATGACATTGAAAAACGCTCGTTTTCGCAATTTTCAAGCTCTCTGAAGTGGATTTTCGGGATCAGCGCATCGGAAAACCCCAGGTAAGCGAAATTTTGAATAGGTCAAAATTTGCCGAGCCACTGCCTTTGAGTAAAATAAACACGCCATGTCAAAGTAGCAAAAATAGATGGAACTATTGTATTTTCGCAATATGATCTGTACCATTACTCCATTCATACCGCTAAGCTTTTACCATGTGATTTTATCTATGGATTTGAGCTACTTCCAAAAATTACTGTCACTCCAAATCTAGATCAACATTAAATTCGCAAGCAAACCTGTGTTGGTCATAGAGATCATAGCAGGAAAGCTATTTAAATTGACAAATAACTGAATTCAAGAAAGTAACCTGTGTGTAGCCGGGTATGCCTGCTAGTAGTGCATAAAATCGCCATATGTCTCGATCATTTTGGTTCAGAAATATTTTAAAATAGAAAAAAGATTGGCACTGATGTCAACCCCCCAGTCGATTTACCTTAGCTTATAAGGAAGTTCCAGAGCGTGAAAATGCTGTGCTATTCTCTATAACCTTATGCTGACTACACCTACATATACATTGATAAGAGGATTGCAAATAAGAATATATACAGTAGAAAACGTGGTTTTCTTTTGCGCCGACTTAATACCTCACCTTTTCTTTGCACAGCGATGGAGACGGACAAATTCATGTTTTACAGGTGCTCATTGCTGCGACCCCTCACATACTTCTCAACTTGTTATTGATCTCCTATCTCATTTTTGGTGCGGTCTTTATGCGTTATGTCGATGAAAGCGTTCGGAAAGAAGATTTTCAACCAGCTCTGCTCTTCACTTACACAACAATCATGACTATCGATTGGTCATCGTTTCACTTTGAATTCCATCATTTCATTCTTTGAAATGGGTCTGAATTTAATTGATTGCACAAAACTTCTGAACTCAATCACATCTCAAATTTCTGTCTTAATTCATGCGTTGTTTTTCAAAAGTAGAAGAAGGTTTGATTAGCCTGATCGATTAGCCTTCAATATCTCACGTTTGCAAGCTTTCGCGGCCTTCCTAATACAATATTGCAAATGGCTTCATCTTAGATCTACAGTAAACGACGTAATACGCAACTTTTTTCTCACTATAGGATTAAGTAGGAATTGCTGGCATATAATGCCACTGCGACACCCTCACTGAAAATTTACGCATTTTCTTTTTCTTTCTTTTATAGCTTGCTTGCTAATTCATATATTACGACAATATTTTTGCTCAAAATCGGTGTTCTCTTATTGTTGAGTGTTCTTTCACGCAGTTATGTTCGATTTTTGTTCAGGTGTTTTTAATTAGGCTTCTACAAACGATGCAGATGGCAAAATTTTGTGACATCAATCACTAGAGCAACACTTCTGCACATGTTAGCAAAATTAATTATTGAAGCAGAAGCTTCCCATCTGTGCCATTTCTCTAAGCTTACCTGTAATCAGACTTGAAGTAACTAGCATAACTGTACGAACAATGCTCGGCAACAACAAATTTGTCCATTTTGATAACGAATATCTCCTTAACACAAATATTAACAAACAACTACGGTGAAAAACGATAAAGAAAAGTGTGCATGATTGAATCGAGGATTCGCTCATGTTCTTTCGTCGCTGTGCGACTAATGAGGAATGGTGTGAGAACGACTTAAACCGCCAATTCAGAAAAATTGAAAAATTTGCAGTGTTTTGTGCCAGGGTTTTAGCATGCTGATTGCCGCTCTACTTTTTACCCCTTTTGAGACTCCAAATGGCCCAATCACATTTCTGATAAGGAAAGGATGCCCGGTCGAAGTGGCGTTTTCATAGGAAATGTACACTATATTATAGAGCATAAAACGCTGATTCCGAATCAGCTTTCATTACCTGCAAAGCGCTTTTAGAAGGGGTGTATGCGAATTTTCTGACTCAAAAATTTTCAATGCACAGCTACAATAAAACCGTTCATAACTGTAGTCTATGAGCTCGAATGGGCCGTCATGATTATCGCCAGGGCGCTTCGTGCACTTAATACCTTTAGTCTGGTAAATTCAAGCTAGCCATCACTCCACTAAAGCGCCGGAAAGACCTCCGTCAACACTTGCTTTCACTTTAGCCAAAGCCCTGAACTTTTGTCGCAAAACACAACTCCCATCCCAGAAGCGCTTTGCAGATGGTGAAAGCAGATTTGGAATCAGCGTTCCATGCTCTATAAGACAGCATACATCTCATATGGAAACTGCATTTCGACCAAGTATCCTTCCTTGTGAGAAACACTGAAACGAAAGTTGCTACGGTACACTTGACGAAACTAGTGAAAGAAGTATTACGGAGGCGCAAACTTATACTGAATGTCAGCGTCTCGGTTCAGGTTGGTGTAAGAGTTTTCAGGTTGCTCGGTTTGCTTCTTGAGGCAAAATAGGCCCCGAATGACTTTTCTATCGTGTACCGTATCCTACAGTAATAGAAGAAATCGGCGATTTGCTCCATTCTGCATACCTAAGGTGGTATACAATATGGAATTTGAGTGGCCACGGAAGCTTTTCATAAAAGTGACTTACTACGGATCAAACGCTCGATACCTTTGAGACAACCTGTATGTGTATGCATATGCAGGCTATCGCCCACAGATTGAAGATAGGAAGAGTTTGGTCGTTATTACGCATTTAATTGTTACTCAACTGGGTTTTTGAAAAGGGAATGGCCCGAGGTACAGTCAGTAGATTTCCTGCTTAATATAGTGCCCCTGCAGGACAACGGTTGTGCGTCGATAAATGCCATTGCGAGTTTCAGCTATTGTTTTGTTTTCTTTGTTTATTCTTTGCTTTTTAAGTGATTTGTAGCTGTTAAAGGAGCAAAAGGTAAGTTAGAGAGTAGTTTTTGTTTTTTGGGTAGTCAAATCATTGCCCATTCTCAGTATCTACGTGGAAGCTACTCGCGTCAGTTTCATGTGTATTTTTTGTCTGTTGATGCCTTTCACGTCAGTTTCTTGTGTATATTTTTGTCACCTGTTAGTCCTTCCTTCTTGTGAAGCATTTCTTTGAACGTTAGTAGGCTTTTACATATGACTTATATCGTCTTTATCACACGAACTAGACGATCAGATGCTATTTTTTTCTGAAAGGAAGTTGAAGTTGCTGCACAGCTTAGAAGCGTCCAAAGAAATGTTTCACAAGAAGAAACAAGCATAACATGACAGGCAATACGCATGAAACTGACGCGACGTGGCTTCCACGTAGATTACTCAAGAATAAGCGGTGATACAACCACTCAGAACACAGAAAATACTCTTCAACTCACCTTTTCTTTATCAGCAACCAGAGAAAAAAGTTCCGTATTACGTCGTTTACTGTATATTTAAGATGAAGCCATTTGCAATATTGTATTAGAAAAGCCGCGAAAGCTTGCAAACGTGAGATATTGAAGGCTAATCGATCAGGCTAATCAAACCTTCTTCTACTTTTGGAAAACAACGCATGAATTAAGACAGAAATTTGAGATGTGATTGATTTCAGAAGTTTTGTGCAATCAATTAAATTCAGACCCATTTCAAAGAATGAAATGATGGAATTCAAAGTGAAACGATGACCAACCGATAGTCATGATTGTTGTGTAAGTGAAGAGCAGAGCTGGTTGGAAGCCTTCTTTCCAAACGCTTTCATCGACATAACGCATAAAGACCGCACCAAAAATGAGATAGGAGATCAATAACAAGTTGAGAAGTATGTGAGGGGTCGCAGCAATGAGCACCTGTAAAACATGAATTTGTCCGTCTCCATCGCTGTGCAAAGAAAAGGTGAGGTATTAAGTCGGCGCAAAAGAAAACCACGTTTTCTACTGTATATATTCTTATTTGCAATCCTCTTATCAATGTATATGTAGGTGTAGTCAGCATAAGGTTATAGAGAATAGCACAGCATTTTCACGCTCTGGAACTTCCTTATAAGCTAAGGTAAATCGACTGGGGGGTTGACATCAGTGCCAATCTTTTTTCTATTTTAAAATATTTCTGAACCAAAATGATCGAGACATATGGCGATTTTATGCACTACTAGCAGGCATACCCGGCTACACACAGGTTACTTTCTTGAATTCAGTTATTTGTCAATTTAAATAGCTTTCCTGCTATGATCTCTATGACCAACACAGGTTTGCTTGCGAATTTAATGTTGATCTAGATTTGGAGTGACAGTAATTTTTGGAAGTAGCTCAAATCCATAGATAAAATCACATGGTAAAAGCTTAGCGGTATGAATGGAGTAATGGTACAGATCATATTGCGAAAATACAATAGTTCCATCTATTTTTGCTACTTTGACATGTCTGCTGGGATCTTCTGAAAAGGCGTGTTTATTTTACTCAAAGGCAGTGGCTCGGCAAATTTTGACCTATTCAAAATTTCGCTTACCTGGGGTTTTCCGATGCGCTGATCCCGAAAATCCACTTCAGAGAGCTTGAAAATTGCGAAAACGAGCGTTTTTCAATGCCATTTGCTTTGAAATTGGACGAGTGGGGCACGACTGAAGAAGCCGAATCGTGGCGGGACCCAATGGTTATAGCATTGCGGCGGGCAGCCATCAACGCTGTGAAAAGCGTTGTTCAACTCGTCCGAGCGCGTGTAAGATAGGCTTGCGCGTGTAAGTTTGAGAACAGTTTTCTCGACAAGGAAGACATGCTGTGCGACCGGGACTGCACTGCTTTCACACCTGGGTGATAAGCAACCTATCGCGTAAAATTTCCGTGTCGCTAAGATTTGCCGATCCACTGCCAAAAACGAACATGTTTTGTGATGAGTGTTGTTAACGCTGTTGTTTTTGAGGCCGCTTAGATTCGCAACAGCAAATCCAATGCCTTTGGCTTAAAGCTTATCAATTGTAGTGTCTCTTGCCCCAGCACCTCCGCTCCCGCGCAAGGCCTGTCTTCTGCGAACATGCTCTCTAATCATTTGCAATCAATTGAGGCTCCGTCTTTCTCACGCTCGCGGTGGGAAAGTGATCAGAGAGCATGTTCGCGAAAGAGCGCAGAATCTAGGCAAGGCGGCCGCGCGGAAGCGGAGAGTTGATGCGCCCGACGCTGCATTTGATAAGAATTGTATTTGCAGAAATAGAAGGCATTGAGAATTGGCGCTCATAATGTTGCGGAAGGATGCTACACACCTCAACGTAAGCGAACGTATAAATGAACCTACTTAAGATACACTTCTCACTGCGCTCTGCATGCCAAAAATTCAGAATGAGACATGCCGCTAATCTTCACTCTCACATGGACAAATGATTTGATAAACCCTTCATTTCCTAGATTTGGTAAACAAATTAATAAATCAGTAGAGGGGCCTAGCGAATCGTCGCAAAAAGTAGCCTATCTTCTGCGCCTCGCCTGATTTTTTGGGGAGCAAATTTCAGCCTCATCGGTTCACAAACAAAGGAGTCTATAAGCCACATACTTACATACGAACAAATTCACAGAGATTGAGTTTTATTGATATATAGATACAGGGTGTCTCAAAAGTAAGTACATACTATTAAAGGCAATGTCCGGGCCAAAAGTCGATTTCGAGATTTTGTGCATATCCGGGCCTATTCGCTATGCTGAATCCATAAATCCACACTAGAAAGCGCGAAAACGGCGAAAAAGGGCTCTCACAGGAGGGAAATCAGGATGTGGGCGGGGTCTTCCCACAACGAATTCACGCTCCGAGCTTCTGGAGCGATTTTATCGATTTCGCTAGCTGCCTTGACATCTCCACCGGCCAAGTACGAAAGCTTGACTGAAATCGGAATCGAGAAGATCGCTCTGGAAGCTGGGAGCGTGAATTCAAATGGGGAGGACCCCGCCCACCTCTGATTTCCCTCCTTTGTTAGAGCTCTTTTTCACCGTTTTTGCGCTTTCTAGTGTGGATTTTCGGATTCAGCATAGCGAATAGGCCCAGGTGGGCGCAAAATCTCAAAATTGACTTTTGCCCGGACACTGCCTTCAAATCGCTAGTAGCTCAGTTCCTATAAAGTCTTTTGCCTATTTCTAGGTACAATCAGTAGAGCAGGCTTCAGCTTAGATTCGCAGTATGGAGCGAATCACCCATCGCTATTCGTTTCTCTAGGATTACGGTCGAATCTTTCAACATATACAGCGCTAGTGTGAAACAGGCCATTCAAAATATATTCCAAAAATTCTGAAAAGTTGCGCATCGGTGATTACAGACGTTTGAAATGACTTAATCTCATTTTTGAAAAACACTAAAACGTTGTTGCGGTTTTCGTGGCATAACTTAAGAAATAAGTCTTCCAATTAAGAGCGAAATTCATATTCGTAGTCAACGACTCAATTTAGCCGTACGATAAAGTTTTCGGGTTGTTGAACATCAAATCTAGGGCAAAATGCAGCCATTGATGGCTCAAAACCCTCTTCAAAGTTCTTACCGTAATCTACAGTAATGAAGAGCGATGGGTCTACAGTAATGAAGAGCGATGGGATTCATTCCATGCTGTAAATCTAACTTAGAGCCTGCTCTACTGGATGGTGCTTGAAGCTAAGCAAAAGATTCTGTGGGAAGAGAGTTACTAGTGATTCGAGAGTGTGTACCTACTTTTGGGACACCCTCTTGGGACACTCACCCTGGGGCATCTCCCAGACTTATAAGCAGTAACCTGCGGGTCACGACTTTTGGAGAAAATCGCTGTGTTCAAGAGGGAGAAGTGAAATTGAAGAATATCAAAAAGAAGCAATGTTAGAAAAAAAGGAAACGCTTGATATGGAACAGCTCAAAATTTCTTTTGAAAATGTCGTTATCTTCTGCGAAAACCTAATAGCGTCTGAGAAATCATGAACGTTAATGTCACTTACTTCTTTGAGAAATTCCTTTTCGCTGCAACATCGATCGCTTATGAATTGCTGTTTCCAAGTACGGTAAGGCCTCATGCTGCTGCTACGAGAGAACTCGTATCGCTTGAGATAGAACAGCCCCTGGAATAATTATTATTACAAATCTGAATTAAGAGTTCGATGAATATGTTTTGTCAAATTTTGGTGGGTGTGTGCCCTTCTGAACCGCTCCGTCCCAGCGCTAATTACTCTGTCCGGGCAACGCTAATAACTTCGCCTTTCTTATAATCTAGCAAAGTTTTCAAATATTTCTGAGCATTCCAAAACAAGTGAGGCACACGACAATGACAGTGAGGATGTTTGAATTACGATGAGAAAAAGTTGGAAAGGTTGCATGTTTCTAAGACAATTACATGATTTCTTCGCCCTTCCCAGTTTTCAAAGCACCATGAAGTCTGCACGTGTAAGCTGAGGAATTTACCTAAGCCGCCCACGTATAACATTCTTGAGTTTCATGGGAAACTCGAAATCTTGTTTAGTTCTTTTAAACATGAGAATGCCTTTGCAGTCCAATTCAGACGTCTCCAACATAGGTCTCGCCTACCCAAGTGCCGCGGCAGCGCCGACCAATCAGAGGCGCGCAGTAATTAGGTCACTAATGTTAGCGGTTCAGAAGGGCCGTCTCCCGTCCAAGGTCGCTTCCCTCTGCCATTCTCTACCTCCCATACGAACATTTCTTTGGTCTGTGGCCGCCGCTGACGACCTGTCGGAGGAAATAATCAAATCGATGTGTTCTCTGAAAAACATTACGCGTTTCAATCCTATCTATTCATTAGCGAATGAATGATGCCACAGCAGAGCAACAGATGGAGTAAAACTAAATTGACCCCACAAGTGTGTTAGTGATCAGCATGATCAGCTACCTTCCTCACCAACTCCAGTCCCGTAACTCAAACGCAAAAAACTCAATAAAATTGATAAAAGTAAAAATTTTTCTAGAAACTGATGGCGTTATTCGTCTATTCGGGCCCCAAAATGTTTTTGTGATGGATCTTGCTCAAACTCAGTATGTGGGGTTTATTTGAGCCGCTGATGACAAATATCGTAGTCATTTCGCGTGGCAGCGAGTAAAAATCATGAACCTACCTGAAACCTTGGCAGTGGATTACCTAAAGTGCTGTTTCAAGAATATCGTGCTTAATCCCCACAATAAAGGCAATTCGTGTGGTATAAAAGTTGCCCACGACCATAATGCTTTCCTTATAGGACCACTGCCGCGCGCGATACACCCTTCGGCGGCTTTTGCGTAAGCAAAACAGGGGGAGGGAGATTTGCCGCGTGCGTTACGCGTTGGGACAGTCATCAGGATGGCGCTGGAGACCGCCATGCAAAACGACCGTTTCCCCTTGAATCTGGGATTTAAATTGGCCCGCAAGCGAAACAATGTCCATTCAAACCGTGCAACTCATCATAACTTCACAATAATGCGTTGTGACAGCGAGCAAGCATCATATTCATACGCAGTTTGCAAAACCCGGATCCGTTTGTGGCAATGTGCAACTCTACTCAGATATGTGCAAAAAGTACCCTAATTTCACGCGTATAAGGCGCGGGGGATTATTTTTCCAAAATCGACCAGCCCGGACAAGCCAAAGGACTTCACAAGTATTCCGGAAAGAAATCCTGGCTGAGCGGTGTTTGAAAATTCGAAAAAGTGCGCCTTATACGCGTGAAATTAAAGTAAAAAGTTTTTCTTTTACGAGGACAATGCTAGAAAAGAAATCGTCAGCTTGTCGAGTCTACGTCCAGATGATTTAGATAACTTTTTGCCTTGAGGAAGGATATGGTTTTCGACGCTACCATGCTAGGGCCGATAATTAATTTGACTCTTCGTTAACTCTTCTGTTGTGAAGTTTCATCCCTTCCAATCTAACGAGCTCTGTGGCAATTTTAAATTCAGAAATTATTTACAAGGGATTTATAGGGTTCCGTGTGTGGGGGAAAGGTGCATGACCACTTGGTGCCCATAAGCAACATTGCATCGGAAGTGCTGACGAGGGCAGGTTTACTGGCTTGTCGAGGAGTGGCAACGCTATGTGGAATTTCGCGCACACGAGTTACGACGTTTCGCATGTGTACAGCAGCCCACTCCAGTAATCGTCCTATGCAATAATCGAGCTCTATCTCCAAGGTGATTGAATTGTTTGGAGGCTATCTCTCTCTCTTTTACGTTGTAGAACTATATTTGTGCTTCTTTATGGCGCGATAGTGCTATTCTATTTGTAGTAGTGGCTCTAATAAAAACCGGTCTTTTTGCTGCAATTAGTAGATTAGGGAAAAGGCTATTGAAATGAGGACGAGTGATCACGGAATAGGAAGTGTACTGAGAACTCTTAAGATAGAGGCGATAGGAGTGTAGTGCCCTATCGTCTCTATCTTAAGAGTTCTCAGTGCACTTCCTATTTTCAGAATCCCAGGGGAGTTCTGAAACGAACTCCCTCATGAGTTCGCACAATTATGCCGACGTCTCCTAGTATAAGCTCCTGCAAGACGAAGGCGGTCGGTTCGATGTGCAACGCGGCTGCGACATGGCTGCGTCACAGCAGCGTCACAGCCACGTCGCACCTCGACCAACCGCCTTCGTCTTGCAGGAGCTTATACAAGCTGGGATGAGGGATGAGGGTTGCACAAAAACAAAGACAACAAAAAATGACCATTCCGCACGTTCATGAAAAGAAAACAATATGCGCAAGCTTTTGCAAAAGAAAGCACTACTCTGAGTAAAAAAAACAAAAAACGTTTATGGAATGAGAAACCTTCTCTCTGCCACAGCGAACTGTATACCAGAAAAGACAGATGACTAGAAGCCGATTGAATTGTTTGGAGGCTATCTCTCTTTCTTTTACGTTCTAGAACTATTTATATTTGTGCTTCTTTATGACTCGATAGTGCTATTCCATTTATAATAGTAGCTCTAATAAAAATCGGTCTTTTTACTACAATTGTTAGATTAGGGATAAGGCTATTGAAATGAGAACGAGTGATGACAGAAGTACTGCCCTATCGCTTCTATGTTAAGAGTTCTCAGTACACTTCCTATTTTCAGAATCCCAGGGGTAAGTTGTCCTCAAGTTCTGAAACGAACTCCCTCATGAGTTCGCACAATTATTCCGTCTCCTCGTACAAGCTGGGATGAGGGATGAGGGTTCGCACAGAAACAAAGACAACAAAAAATGACCATTCCATACGTTCTTGAAAAAAAAAAACAATATGCGCAAGCTTTTGCAAAAGAAAGCACTACTCTGAGTAACAAAACAAAAAACGTTTATGGAATGAGAAACCTTCTCTGCACTTCTACCTGCAACAGCGAACTGTATACCAGAAAAGACAGATGACTAGAAGCCTTGTCCCACATATAACATCTCTAAAAATCTGTACGCGTATGAGACGACCGATGTTGACGTATAAGAATAACAACTTGGAAACAACACGATTGGCGGTCCTTGAATCAATGCAAAATGCGAGGCAAAGGTGAGTTATGCTTGCAAGTAATGGTCGCAGTCATAGAGAGAGAGAGTGATCTACATACCTCAACATAAGCTAGAGGAGAAAGCCAAGCCCGCCCACTAAGCAAGTGGCCTTTAGAATAATACAGGGTATTATTTGCACGATGATACCCGCCGCCCAATAGGATTCAAAAACAGCGAATACAACAAGGCAAGCAACTCAGACAAAAGTACCGGACGAGCGGCGCTCCACCATAGGAGTCCCGGACGAGAGCCGAATTCGCCGACCGAGCGCACTCTGTCACCGGGCGGGCGGCCTGCAATCTGGAATTACCGGGCGGGCGGTCACAATCACCGGTTCAGCGGCCACCAATCAACCGGCCGAGCAGTATACAATCGAAAGCTTACAAACACCGGTCGAGCGGCATCATTGACCGGCAGGAGTCACAATCGAAGTGCGCAAAATTAAGTTTTTCAAATTTGATAGCTACCTCATATTTTGACATGACCAAAATTCCATTTCATCTTCTGTGAATACAAAGGCAATATTCATTTTACCGAAGATCGGAGTTGAAGCGGCATGCCAAACGAGAGGAGCTTCAGCCATATAAATCAACGCCGCAGATATGGATGCACGTTTTCACTTTACTCTTTTGATTTTGTTAGTTTTTTTTCACTTATTCTTTTAATTTTGTTGTTGTCCTCTCAGTCTCTTTTTGCAAGCTATGCAGTGTGTCCCAAAAAATGTGCACACTGTTTGATTTTTCAATAACTCTCCTACTTCTTTGACATTTGTCGTCCTTTACGTATCATTCTGTAGTGCTGGCTACAGCTTACATTTACAGTATCGCAGCTGATTTCCTATCCTTCTTCATTACTGTAGGATTATGGTAGGACTTTGAAGATGGTTTGAAGCCATAGAAGTCGCATCTCCCCTCGGAAAGAAAACTTACTGTTTATCAGTCTACATAGTTTTGCTGTTCATGGTTTCAAACCAAACAAGCAAAAACTTCCACACTAGGCTAATTGGCGTCGCTGATTACAGATATGCAATCGTGCACACCGCGGTTGTGCTTTCTCCATAAGTTATTTCAGAAAAGCAATAACAGCCGCTCTTCCACCACTCTTCCAAAATGTGATTGCAGCTCTAAAAAGGCTTAGAATTCTTGTAGAAATTTGCTTAATGAAGTCAACATGCTTAAAAATGCTGCTGCAGAAACTCTGAATATTTATTTTTTGGGATTTTTTATCATATATTCGTTGATTTATTGTTGCAGCACGATAAACATTTGAAATTTGTTTTTCATACGTCGGAGGTTTTAACCTTTGTATCTGTATAGTATAAATCATTTTTTAGGATTCTAGGAAATTGCTTTTTTAGCATTTTGATTCACTCTAAGCTTTGCAATTATATGAAGAGGATCCAAGCACGATAGTTTGCAGCGAGCCACTCTAATTTTAGAAAAGCCCCATTTAAACCTTTCATCTCTGTGAACGCCCAAGGATATTCGTGGAAGTTTGCGCTGAATATGAGTAAATTTAAATTCAATATTTGTAGGCAAGGAAGAGCCGTGTCTGCATGGGAAACGACGGATGCCAGCAGTAACACAAGATTATCAAG